ATCTGAAACAGGCTCCAGGCTCTGAGCGGTCAGCACAGAGCCCGACGCGGGGCTCGAACTCACGGACTGCGACATCACGACCTGAGCCGAAGTCGGACGCTTAACCGACTGAGCCACCCAGGCGCCCCAAAAACATTTTTTTTAAACAAACAATAATGCAATCATATTGTACATTCTGCTTTGTAATCTGCTCTTTTGTTTTAACAATGTCTGTTGTTCCCAGATATCTGTTGTACTTTGAAAGTACAAGTGACAGGGGCACCTGGGTGGCTCAGTCGGTTAAGCATCTGAATTTGACTCAGGTCATCATCTCATGGTTTTTGAGTGTGAGCCCCACATCGGGCTCTCTGCTGTCAGGGCAGAGTGCACTTCAGATCTTCTGTCTCCCTCTCTCTCTGCCCCTCTCCCCCTCATGCTGTCCCTCTCTCTCTCAAAACTAAACATTAAAAAAAACAGTATAAATAATATATCACATAGAAAATGGAGACACTGAGGAAAAAGTATGAAATGAAAAATTAGTCTTCCTAAAGGCAACTGTTAATTTCTTGTGTGTCCTTGGAAGAAAATTCATATGCGTACACCATTATGGGTGTGGGCATGAGAGAGAGAGAGACAGACAGATAGACATTGGATACTTACTTTCTGCTAGGCATTGCTCTAGGTGCTTTACCGTGAATAACATTAGTATTCTTATTTTATATAGGAGAAGACTGATATACAAAGAATTTAGACAACTTACTCAGGTTTGCACAGCTCATAAGTAATAGAACCAGTAGCCTAATCCAGACCTCCTAACTTCAGAGTTCAGATACACATTATATTGCTTTTGAGTTTTTTAACAGCTGCATAATATTCCATTGTGTGACTGTAACATGATTCGTTTAACCATACTCCTGTTAATGGACATCTTGTTTATTCCAGTTGTTGTTATTTCATACAATGTTGCACCATAGTATCAGATATATGTTGGTTTATTTGGATGCAGAATTCCTTATAGTGGAATCATTGAGTCAAATTTTGATATATATCATCCTGTTCTTCGAAATAGTTGCACCAATTTATACTCTGAATCACAATATATGAGTTCCTGTTTCTTCCTGTTAATATGTCAAAAATGTTATCTCTTACTTTGATTTATAGCTCTTTTTTTTTTTTTTT